AAAAGCAACTGTCTTTCAAGTTTCAAGTGTCAACTGAAACCCTGCAGACTCCATAGTAGACTAATGAAAAAGTAGCAGTGCATACAAATCCCATTAACTCAAATCCAACAAAAACCACTGCAAGATCAACCATTTTAAAAATAACCATTTTAAAAAAAAAAACACTAACTCCAAATTGTCCAAAGTCCAAATATTAAAAATAACTACAAGTCTACAAATATTCAAATACATAACAAGAAATTCATTAGGCCTTGAATTATTCGGTGCAAAGTCCACTTGTTCCAGAATCGATATCACATGTTTCAAATCCTTCCTCTAATTCTCCCACTAATTTAGCATATTCATCATCCTTAAATTCTCCACAATCTGCAAATACAATGTGAATTAATTAAAATAAATAAATAAATAATATTATTAATCAAATAAAATTTTAGCTATTTACTTTTAGAAGCAGCCCATATCCAATTTTGAGTACACATCAAAGCTTCTACAGCTTCCGGTAAAAGCCGACTACGATAAGGATTAAGAACCCGACCACTTGTGCTAAATGCGGACTCTGATGCAACAGTAGAAACAGGAATGCTCAATATATCTCGTGCTATTTGCTGAAGAATGGGATATGTGCCTCCATTTGTCTTCCACCAGTTAAGAATATCAAAATCTTGGACTAGAGGCACATTAGCAGCATCTAAATACTTATCCAAATCTGATATATCATGACTTGAGTCCTTATCTTGTTGTAAAAATTCAGCAAATTCTTGCATAAAGGTCTCTTCATTGGATTTGCTACTACTACCCAAATCAAAATCTTGTTGGTTGCTACTACCTTGAGTTTTACCCATCTTAGACCCATATTCATCAACCAATCTTCGTAGAAGATCACTAATTCTACGAACCTCAATTTCAAAGTCATGCTCATCAAAAATTTTTGCAAAATAAAAGCGAATAAGAGCCATTTTGTATCTAGGATCTAGTATTGTTGCCACTCCCATTAAGCCATTCACACTAGCCCAATACTTGTTATATTTTTGTAACATAATGTCGGCCATTTTCCTTACATAATCATGAGGAGATAAAAGCCAACCAGAAATAGCAATTCTCAAAGCACAAATTTTAGGAAAATAAAGATTGGCCGTAGGGTAATTTGTTCCTGAAAAACTAAGGGTAGTTTTACTAAACACTTCCAAATGTTCACATATTTTCTCAACTTTTTCCCAATCTTCAGGGGTCGGTGGATTCTTATATAAATTATTACGAGCACTTAAAACAACAAACACTTCTTTATAACTAGTAGCAATAGAAAGCATTTCATAAGTAGAATTCCACCGGGTTTTGCAATCAAGTGCTAACTTTCTACTACACTCAGGAGTTATTTGCTTAGCCACTTGTTCAAACCTTTGTACTCTCTTATCAGAAGCAGTCCAAAACACAACACTATCCCTAATTCTTTGAACACCATTTGATACCACAGCACTTAAACCATCTTGAACAATCAAATTTAATATGTGAGCACAACAACGCATATGAAAAAAATCACCTCGCAATAAAAGTGAGCCATATGGAAACACTCCTTTCAAAATTTCCATCATTGCATCATTAGTTGAACAATTATCCACGGTTATAGAAGACAACCTAAGATCAAGATTCCATGATTGAATGCTTTCTTTCAAAGCATCAGCAAGAACCTCAGCAGTATGAGGGGCGGGGACATATAAAAACCTACCAAAACCAATGAAAATAACATATATTATTTGTCTATTCAATACTATTGTGGATATATGGGCTCATTATTATCATCCATCATCACAACTTATAATTCTTATGATTTTAAAATTCACACAAAAAACTATAGCAATACAAAGACAACCAAAAAAAAATAAACAAGTTATAAGTAACCAGAAAACAATACCTTATGATCCGACTTTGCAACTTCCATGTATTATCAATAAAATGTGAGGTGACCGCCATATAACCTTTTCTCTGGTTGTCAGCTGTCCACATGTCAGTAGTTAAGGCAATCTTACCCTTTGCTTTCCTCAACAAGGTTGCAACATTCTCCTTCTCAAGCTCATATCTTTTCATAATATCTTTTCTAGTTGTGTTGCGAGACGGCACTTTAAATCCAGGTTGGAGTGTGTTGCTATATTTTCTAAAACCAATATGCTCAACCATGCTAATTGGATACTCATGCAAAATAATCATCTCTGCCAAGTCTCTTCTTCCATCTTCTTGGTGGAATTCGTAAGGAGCCAATGTCATCGTGTCATTCTTATCATTCAAGTTTTTTTTTGTACCAAACATTCTTGTTTGTCGAAGATCTTGACATACTCTCTTTGGACATATTTTTATATGATCTTTCAAATGAGTAGTTCCTGCTTTTGACCCACCAGCAAGTAGCTTGGAGCAATGGTTGCACTCAGCTTTTATCACATCCCCAACTCTCTTTCTCTTAAAATCAGACCACACTGCCGAAGTATGCCTACTAGTAATTGGTAGGAGAGAAGGATCGGAATTAGTCTCTAGAGGACTTTCATCATCATCTATTGCAATTGGAGTATTACTAGCGGAAGTGGGAACACTAGCGTTATTTGACATCTCAGACAAATTCTCCCCTGTAAAAATTAAATAAAGACAATTAATGCACTAGACATATTGACTACAGTATTGAACACATTTGACATCTCAGAAATTATCCACCCTTGAACACAACACTTGGCCCTCTCTAAGGTATCCAACGTCATTAGTGTAGTATCAAGAGACTTATTTTGTGATCACTCATCATTTGTTCAACAGCATATATAATTAATACTTCAAATTTTGTTTTGTAATCCAAACAACAGTAACATTCCAAACAAAGATTGTGGCATTGCACCAACATATTACATGTACGTACACACCATCAAACTAGTGATTGATCACTAATTAAACTGTTGCTGTTTTGCTACTCATATATACTCGATCCCTGGCCTTCTAAATAAGTCCCTTGACACAATTAAACCAATAATGAAGCAAATCATATGAACTTAGCTTACAATCACAACAACACCACACAAATGCAACAATTAGGAGTGTTTCAAGAATGAACCAAACCAAATTACAAATTAAAGTCACACCGAACAGAAATCAACGGCAACAAATGTTCTAATTTATAGCAAAGTACTAATGTAAAATTGTTAGAATGGTAATTTAAGGAGGTGTATATGAGCAATATGGCAATTGAAAAAAAAAAGTTCAATAATTGCATTAGATTGAAAGTATCATACAAATATAACACGAAACCCTAGCTCAATCAAATGAAATATTGAAAACCGCAATCGAACAAATCATAAATAAAAGACGATTCACATACTTTCAATCGAAAACCCAATTAAGAAATTCTTAATTGAACATATTGAATTAAGAAAACTCAAAGATAATAATGCGAAAACGTTTACCTAAATTGAATGGGTTGCAGCCTTGCAAGATCGAGGTTGAAGAAGAAGGATCGAAGAGATTTGATTGCAGACGAGGACCACGAGGTTGAAGAAGAAGGATCGAAGAGATTTGATTGCAGACGAGGACCACGAGGTTGAAGAAGAAGGATCGAAGAGATTTGATTGCAGACGAGGACCACGAGGTTGAAGAAGAAGGATCGAAGAGATTTGATTGCAGACGAGGACCACGAGGTTGAAGAAGAAGGATCGAAGAGAGGGGTTTGAGGCTTGAGGAATGAGGCAGTGAGAGGAGAGAGTGAGGCAGTGAGGCTAGGGTTTTTGTTTTGAGAAGAAGGTAAGTGGGTTTCGTGTCTTATGCGGGTATGGGGTGGGTATAAAGCGGGTATGGGTCGGGTATGGAGTGGGTCAGGCGGGGCGGGGCGGGTACGGGGTGGGTCAGGCGGGGCAGGGCGGGGCGGGTATGGGGCGGGTCTGGGCGGGGCGGGTATTACATAACAACCATCCCCGCCCCATCACCCATGGCGGGTATGGATTTTAGACCCATCCCCGCCCCGCGACCCGCCAAAGCTAGACCCATCCCCGCCCCATCGGGGCGGGGATGGGGCGGGTCTCCTACTAGACCCGCCCCAGTGACATCCCTAGCGGTGGCTACGACTGGGTTATGGTGGGTGGGTTTTTTTAGTGGGGGTGGCTGTTTTTGGTGGTTGGGTTGATTTTTTTTTTTATTTTTTTTTATTTTTTAATAAATATAAATCTAACTATAGTTAATATTTAATGAAATAAGGTTATGAGTGAGATGAAAATTTTAACTAAGGTCATTTTGTATAATTGAAAAAAATTACCGTTGGTACGTAGTAAAAGTTAGGGGTTACCATTGAGAATTTTCCAATAATAATTAACTGAGGTAGTAGTTGAGTTGTCTAGCTAGCTAGCTAAGATGCACAACACACATAAATATATTTAGTGCCAATCAAAGAGTGTCTATCATATGCCTCGATTTATAGTGCACATAGATGATGAAAGGATCAGACTAGGTAAGTTTGATTTACGACTTACAGATGGGCAATTGCAGTTAAATCTTTTATGGTTGTCGATAAAGATCCAGATAGCCCTAAATCTGTAAAATTCCTATAAAACCAACAAAAAGGGAAGGAAAATTCTTTCTTGTAATTACTCTATGCATAAGTTGTACATTTTATGCAGAGAATATGTACAAGATAGAATTTCTCTGATCAAAATTAGACAAGGATAATGATATAATTTTTATTAACATATACATGAGTACAAAATTATTTTATTGAGTACATCTAATTTTTAACCCGATACATTCACATTTAATGTATGTTCATGTTCGTATCCTTAATTTTGAGTGATTTAATAACAGATGTTAAATTTTCAATACTAGTAATTTAAATTTCAATACTAGTAATTATTAGTTCAATTTTGCTTAAAATATAATTATGTCAAATTTAGCATGGCTCTCCAAAAATATTTGATTGATTGTTGTACTGTAAACTTGTCTTTAAACAGATGATATATAATTAACTTGGACTAAATTAACTTCAGCTAAAAATACGCTAAATGTGAAGTCTCCGGGATGAAAATTACTGTAATTCTTCTTATAAGAATTGAACTGCCATAGCTGCAACTCGAGCTATGCCGTTTGATAGTATGTAACTCCACTCCATGAATTTTTCCGAGGTAAGCAAGGATCTCCGTTCCAATCACCGGGTGGGTTGTTCAAGCTTCGATCAAGATCAGTCATTGCAGTCACTGCCAAATTCTTTGGGTTTAGACTTTGTTCTCTTCGTCGTATTCTTATCGATTATCACTTAATCTCGTTGAAATCATACCAGACCACTGATAATGTCTTTGGATTTACACTTGTACTAAGTAATTTGTAAGCCATTAATCAAAATCTATTTATAATTAGTAAAGTACTCTTTTTTCCATATTTCTGAAAAAGAATATACTACATAAAACATAGATATTTGTGTATTTTTTATATATTCTGTATAAAATCATTTTTGATAGAGTATAAAACATATTCTTAGGCTTTAATCATTAGCTTAAGTTTTTGGTTGAAGCCCAGAAATATGTTTTATACTATATTTTATCATTAATGTTGTGATATCATGTTAGAAGACCATTTCAACCAAAAGCTTAAGCTAATGGTTGAAGTCAGAAATATATTTTATACTCTATCAATTTTGTTAGACAAAACTGGTTAAAGTGAGAAACAAGAACAAAAATAAGTAGTAGTATAAGAATAGCAAGAAAATTTTGGTACCATAGTATTACCATCCTTGTCACTAGTCCTCCCACCAAGAGGAAGGAGCTGAAACATCTCGGCAGCATTCATGATAGGGCCAACCGGGGCGCCGTCCTCGGGGATCAACGTGATCTGAGTCTGACCAGATAGAGGCCATTCAGGTGTATAGACATTCACCCCACTAGTTGTTACATTGAGTTTGTTATAAAACGCGTCGCCGTTGATCAAAATGTTGAACACTCTCCAACTGTATGGGCTCGGAGTTCGGTTATCTTGGAAGTAAAAAGAAATGTGGTAGTTTCTATCGGACAAGGATATTGGTGGCCACTTGATTTCGAGGGTTTTCCCTCGGCTTGTTGTGATTCCTGAGCTTAATGCTCGGCTTGGTGGCATGTTCCAAAAATCTGATGGTGTGATATTAGATTGACATTTCACTGTTGGATTTGTATCTTTGGATTGTTGCCACATTCGGTTATACTCGTCATCTGAATAACTAGTCTCCAAATAATCAATCAACTACATACTATAAAATCACTAGTTTTATAAACTTACTATATTTAGTATCGCAGTTAGTTTCTTGTTTTTTTAGTTCGGGATTTCAAAAGGTAAACGTGTGTGATATACTACCTCTGTCCCCATTTATTTGTCTCATTTAACTTTTTAAAGGTTTTAAAAATGCATCATGTAACTTAAATATTTCCAACTTTATTTATGCAAAAATTATAAATTTTAATTTTAGAAGTAGTCATTGAAACGAGTATTTAACAAGATCCCACCTATCTAACTATATTATTTCTTGTAAATTAGTGATAATAAGTGGTCAACCTATTTAATATTTGACTCAAAATATAGCAATGGGGAAAAAATGAGAACAGAGCGAGTACCAAATAGCTAGGAGAATCACAATTTTTAAACCAAAAATTAAAAACTAATATTGCCTTTATTCGTTCTTTCTATTTTGACTTTTTTTTTAAAAAATAATCGCCATCAAAACAAGAAAAACATTTCGAGATCTTGAACCAGAGAAACTATTGTTTTTTATAATAAGATTAATTATGTACCTGATAAAATTGGCCCCACCATTATCCTTGTGATCATGACCAAATGTATGACGAGCAACAGTACTAAGCGCACACTTGTGGAAATCAACAGACTTATAAAGAATGTTGTTTGGGTCCAATTTGTCATTAATTGGGCCCGGTTCACAAATGATTCAATTGCAAGCCCAAAAGGTAAGGTTCAACTCTCCGGCCCAAATGCCAAGTCAGTCCAAGGTCTAATCCAAGTGGCAAGCCCACTTGGCTCCAAAGGCCCATCCCTCATCATTGAGCTAAGGTATAAAAGCTAGTCTTAATCATATTTTGCAAATCATTCACAATCAGCCTCAAGCACAAACCATCTTGCATAGCTTCCTTTCTCTCTCTAAAACATCGTATTGATTTCGGCATCGGAGGGGCTTTCCTCGGCACAACCCCCGAGGCCAGTTTACGTGTTTTGTGCTGTGCAGGAAATCCTCGGTTCCAGCATTACTTGGACCGAGCTTCGTCTTCTCCACCAGTTTTGGGCCAGCCGAAGGCCCCCATTGTTTTCGTACAGAAACAATTTGGCGTCGTCTGTGGGGAGGATACAAAAAATCACGCCAAACGTCCATCACTTTAGTACCACATGACTAAAAGTGGAAAAAGCATGAAAAATGCTAAAAAGAAGGGAGATGCTACCTCCTCGAGGAGGGGAAGAGGGATGATCACGGTGAGGGAGCATCGACCAGTTTCTCCCGAACCGGAACCCTCATCTCCATCCACTCCATCGTCAAGAGCCCCCAACTCTCAGGAGAGGGAGGTCTCGAGAACTCCCAGTCCTCAAGGAAGGGAAGCTTCAATAAATCCGCCCTCGCACCACACTCGGTAGCTAGAGCCCTCGCCGAGACAGAGTGGGTCTAACGCGAGGAGCATTTTGCGTCGCAACAGCGAGCTCTCACGGTCCCAGCAGAAAGAAACCCCTCCTTCGGGGCCTTCTACGAAAGAAGTGGCTAAGGATGTGGCAGTCTGCATGGAGTTCCTAAAAGCCCAAGGAGCTCCACTCCAGCCAACCCCACCTGAGTCTTCCTCTCTTCCGCTGAGAAACCTGAGAAGGAGGATTGGTGAAGAGAGGGATGGACAAGTTCCACCCTACCGGGAGCTCGGGAAAAGGTGGCAGGAAGACACCTGGAACTCCAGCAAGGAAAGGAAGAAGAATCCACAATTCTTCGACCAATCCGGAGCCGGGGACTCAATGAGTTTCCGAAGCAGCAATACTGCCTCCGAGTGTCCGGACACAGTTCGCCGAAGCGTTCTTGAGCGCTTAGGCCCGAGGGAGGTGGACGTCCATAGCCGTCTCACCTACCCAGGAGAAACTGGGACGCACCTAGAATCGTCTCGGCCGGGGACGAAAACCACTTCCACCTCTCTAAGAGGGAGAAGCGAGGTCCCTTCGGCCGGGCGCAAAGGGAAAGCTGTTATGGTTCCCACAAGCTCGCCCTTCTAAAGCTGGATATTGGAAGAGCATGTGCCAACGGTAAAAATACCGGCGTACATTACTTATGACGGGACCTCGGACCCAAAAGATCACATCGCCTCTTACGAGGGGCACATGTATCTCAACCCCAGTTCCGAGGCTACCTGGTGCAAGTATTTTCCAACAACCCTCAAAGGTGTTGCACAATCGTGGATCACCAAAGGGATTAAAGAAGGCTCTATCACCGGTTGGAATGACCTTTCCAACAAATTTAAGAGCAAGTTTTCCATGGCAAATTGCCGCGAGAAAACAACTGCAGAGCTCATGAATCTGCAGCAGTCCGAGGACGAGAGCCTCCAAGACTATCTGACTCGCTTCAACAACGAGTCATCCAGAATTACGAGTCTGGATCAAAGCCTCGCCGTATTTGCACTACGGAATGGCCTCCAGGCTGGAAAGTTCCTTGACTTCATGGTCATGCATCCCCGCAGACCTTGGAGGAAACTTTGGACGCCTCGGATAAATTTATCCGAGCCGAAGAATGGAACAAGGCAAAGTCTCAGCCTCGTTTAGGAGCTGGGAAGCCGAAAGGACAATTGTCCGAAGCCTCGGCACCGAGGAAAGGGAAGGCCAAGGCGCCTCAGAACCATCCTCGGCTGCCGAGCCGAAGAAGGAAAAGTACGTCCCCTACGCGGGGAGGTACGATTCATATACTCCCCTTACCCTTCCTCGTGCAAAGATTTTCAGCACGACAAAGGACGAGGGGAGATTCAAGAAGCCCCGGCAGCTGCCACCATGGCATCAGCAGAAGGGCAAGAACAGATGGTGCGAGTTCCATGAGTCTCCTGGACATCGCACCGAGGACTGCCTACAACTGAAGGACCAGATTGAAGATTTGGTTCGAAAGGGCTACTTGAAAAAGTACCTCGCGGATCACCGTGAGGAGAAAAAGGCCGAGAGAGATTCTCGGCAAGATGTGGACTTTTCCCGGAAAAAGGACAAACAGCAACAGGACAAGGATTCCCTTGACATTCTTGTCATTTCCGGGGGAACTTCCCGAAGTGCGGCCAAACACCACTTGAGGGATTTAACCCACCAAGTAAATCATGCCGAGCTTCGTTTACCTCAGTCTCCGGTGCCGAACATTCTGTTCACAGCCGAAGACTGCGAGGGGGTGGCATACCCCCATGATGACCCATTGGTAATAGTGATGGGCATCGCAAACCGCAACGTCTGGCGAACTCTCGTTGACGGCGGTAGCGGGGCGAATATCCTCTTCCGAGGAGCGTTCGACCAGCTGAGGATGGAAGCCAAGCACTTGACTCCGGTGACATACCCAATATCCGGATTCAATGGCTCTTCATCATATCTAGATGGGAAGATTCGTCTTCCCGTCACCATCGGCAAAGGCCGAGCAGTGCGGAGTATCATGTCAGAATTCCTAGTCGTAGATGCTCCCTCTGTATACAACGTGATCATGGGGAGACCCCTCATTCACGACATCCAAGGAGTCGTCTCAACGTACCATCAAACGATGATATATGTTCCGGACGAGGGACACTCCGAAAAAATAAAGGGCAGCCAAAAGGAGGCCCGAAGATGTAACCACCTCAAGCCGTCCAAAGGCCGCCGCAGCGACCGGGACGATGAGGAGGAAAAAGAAAGGGACCGTAGCGCGAAAAAGCTTAAAGGCTTAAGTGCTTGGCCCAAGAGACCCTAGCAAAAGAAAAAATCTTCAGGGGGTGAAAAAGCTAGTTCTTCATCCGAGTCGAAAGACTCGGAAGAGCAGCAAATGTCTGGGAAGCCTGCTGATATTGACAGCAGGCCAGAATTCGAAGAATCCAGTGCCAAGGCCGTAAAACTGGACAGCCAGACAGAGTCAATAGAGCTGGCCGAAGGAAATCCTGAAAGATGCGTTAGCATCGGACTTGGGTTAGACCCAAATGTTCGTGCTGATCTAATTGTACTCCTTCGGACTAATGAAGATGTGTTCGCATTCTCGGCTGCAGAAATGCCCGGGATTGATCCGGACCTCATCTCTCACAAGCTTAATGTCGACCCGGCATGTCGACCCATTAAGCAGAAAAAGCGGAACTATTCTGCGCAAAAGAACCATGACATCGCAGCCGAGGTCAAAAAACTGTTGGATGCTGGGTTCATTGAACCTTGTCAGTATCCAGAATGGCTGGCCAATGTGGTGATGGTTCAGAAGGCCAATGGCAGCTGGAGAATGTGTGTTGATTTCACGGATCTAAATAAGGCATGTCCGAAGGACTTATATCCCTTGCCGAGGATCGATCAGTTAGTCGACTCGACAAGCGGCCATGCCCTGCTCAGCTTCATGGACGCATTCTCTGGATACCATCAGATCTTCATGCACCCCGATGACCGAGCAAAAACGGCCTTCGTTACAAGTTCCGGGGTGTATAATTACAAAATGATGCCCTTCGGATTGAAAAATGCGGGGGCAACATATCAAAGGCTGGTTGATCAGGTGTTCGCCGAGCAAAAAGGCCGCAACATGGAAGTCTATGTAGACGATTCTATCGTCAAAAGTAAAGAAGAAAAAGACCATGTTACGGACCTGGCCGAAACCTTTACCACCCTTCGCAAACACCAAATGAAACTGAATCCGAAGAAGTGTGTCTTCGGCGTGAAGTCGGGCAAATTTCTCGGCTTCATGGTCAGTAAGAGGGGGATTGATGCCAATCCCACCAAAGTGCAAGCAGCTTTGGATCTCCCCGAGCCGAAAACAAAGAGGGATGTTCAGCGCTTGACCGGCAGAATGGCCGCATTATCCAGGTTTATCTCAAAGGCCTCGGACAAAGGACTGCCTTTCTTCCAAGCACTCAAACTCCCGAAATCAAAAGATCTCGTCTAGGGAGACGAGCAAAAGCAAGCCTTTCAGCAACTCCGTGAGCACCTAGCTCAGCTCCCAACACTGGCAAGACCAGTTGACGGAGAGATCCTATACTTATATGTGGCGGTTAGCCCAGCCACAGTAAGCGCGGTGTTGCTGAGGGAAGAAGAAAAAGTTCAGCAGCCGATCTATTTCGTCAGTCATACTCTGACGGATGCAGAGACGCGCTACCCCCTACTCGAAAAAGTTGCATATGCAGTAGTGGTGGCCGGTCGGAAGCTGAGGCCCTATTTTGATTCCCATCAAATAGCAGTCTTAACTGATCAGCCGCTGGAGAAAGTCCTCGGCAAGGTAGAAAAATCTGGTAGACTAACGAAGTGGGCTTTCGAGCTTACCGAGTTCAGTATCAATTACCAACCGAGGGCAGCTATCAAGGCGCAAGCCTTAGCGGATTTCCTAGCCGAGTGTTCTTATCAAGAAACACTTGACGAAGGAAAGAAAATTTGGACCGCTTTCACGGATGGCTCCTCCACCGTAAATGGTTCGGGGGCAGGGGTCGTCATAACCTCTCCCGAGGGCAAGTCCTTCGAATATGCGCTGAAATTTTCATTCAAAGCTTCGAATAATGAGGCTGAATATGAGGTCGCAATTGCTGGCTTAGAGTTGTGCATATCTTTGGAAGCCGAATATGTTTGTCTGAAAACAGACTCTCAGCTTGTCGCAAATCAGATCAGGGGTGAATATGAAGCCAAAGAGCCTTCAATGGTAGCATACCTCGCAAAGATCAAAACAGTTATTGCGAAGCTGAGATC